TTTCTCTGTAGGCTCTTTTTTCACACTCTTGATAGTTTCCATTATTATGAAGAAGCTTTGTACTTAGATGCCATCCCAAATATTGATTTATTATTTCAATTATTATGTTTTAGGAGTCTTGTTAAGGAAGTCAGTTCCTGAGCTTTTGAGTGCTGTGCTCACATTTTCTTCTAGCATGTGCAGGATTTTTATTCTTATTCTTTGGTCTTTGATTTCACTTTGTATTGGGTTTTGTGCAGGGTGATAGATAGAGGGTAAATTTCATTCTACTCTATGGGAATTCCTAGTTTCCCAGCACAATTTGTTGAAGGAGCTAACTTTTCTCCAACGTATGTTTTTGGCACCTTTGACATGTATGAGATAGCAGTATTTATGTGGGCTTGTCTCTGTGTCTTCTATTATATTCATGTGGTCTTTATGTCAGTTTTGGTGCCAAAACCATGCTGTTTTTATTCCTAAAGCTCTGTAGTATAATTTAAGTTCCAATATTATGACTCCTCCTGCTTCACTTTTCTTGCTAATATTGCTTTGCCTATTCTGGGCCTCTTATTTTTCCAAATAAATTTCATGACTGCTTTTTCTATTCCTATGAAGAACATCAATGCAATTTTGATGTGAAATGCATTGAATTTGTACAGTGCTTTTGGTAGTATGGCTACTTTGACAATATTCTGCCCAAACTGTATGATTCTAACAGCAGCAGAGTGGCATAAATACAGACACATACACCAGGGATTAAAATAGGCCAGAAGTAAACCCACACATTATCTTCAGACTGATTTTTGACAAGGGTGCTAAGAACACAGATTGGAGAAAGGAGAACCTTTTAAATAAGTGATGTTTGGAAACTGAAAACTCATGAAAAAAAGTATGAAACTAGACAATTATCTCTTGCCAGTTTTATAAATCAACTCAAAATGAATTAAAAGCTTAAGTATATAAATATAAACTGTGATGCTAATAGAAAGAAATGTAAGGTGAAGCTTCAACCATAAGAATTGCCAAAGAATTCTGGAGAAGACTGCCTCTACAAGAGCACAGAAAACAAATCCAAAAATAGACAAATGAGATCACATCAAACTAAGAAGCAAAAGAAACAATCAACAGATTAGCAAGAAAGCCTACAGAATGGTAGAAAATACTTGAAACTTGTACATCTGAAAAAGGATTGATATACAGAACACAGAAGAAACTCTGAAACTCAACAGAAAAAAATGGGATGAAAACTGGGCAATAGACATTTGAAAATGCAAGACATAAAAACGGTCAGCGGGAATATGACAAAATGCTCCAGTTCACTAATTGTCTGCAGAAGACAAATCAAAACCACAATGAGATATCACCTCACCACAGTACAAATGGCCTTCTCAAAAAAATTAAAAATAACCAGCCCTGCCTGGGAAGGATGTGGAGAAAAGGAACCCTACCCACCCTGCTCGAGGTAAAGTAGATTAGCCTGGTCAGTAAGGAGGTTATGAAAAAATTAAAAAATAGAACTACGATGTGGTACAGCAATCCCATATTGACTCTAAATTCACAGGAAATGAAGTTAGCATGTCAGGAAGACCTCTGCACCACTGTGTTCCTTGCAGCACTATTTACAGTATCAGAGAGAACCATGCATATTTGGGTGACTATAGATAACAATTATGTACCATGCATTTCCAAATAGTAGACAAAAGAGTTTTAAAGTTGTTAGTATTAAAAAAATGGTAAGTGTTGGACAGTCATGTTTAACCTGACTTAACCATTAAACAATGTATACACCCACACATATATACACATATATAAACATCTCAGGTACCCATATGTATATATACTATTTTTGTTTTGCATTTATCAGTTGAAAAATAATTTTATTTTAAAAATATAATAACCACCTTGATCCCTACAGACAGGTTAATTGCTTCAACCTTAGGAAAACAGAATGTGGATGCTCAGATAGTCTCATAGGGGAAAGCTCCAGAGATCTCTGAGTTTCTATAATTCTCTCCAGATCTCTATGCATTAGCCTCTGAAATCTCAGTATGACTAAACAATATTGTCATTTAAGAAGGGACACATGCATGCCATTCCCCACTCTATGTCTTTCATCTGAATGACAATTGTTGTTAGTGCAAACAGCCCTTCTTCTGAAGTGAGTATTTCCTGTGAGCCTTCAATCAAGATCAGAGAAACAGAAGATAAAAATCACATGGATTTATTTTTAAATGACAATACCTTCACCACGTTTTATGGACCTCTCTTGTTTATTATTTACAAAGATGATCTATGAATTGTGAGAGAAGTTGCTGATCATCTTTGTATTACAAACAAGAAGGAGGTAAGTAGTTTTCCACAAAGCACAGCAAGAATTTGTAGATTCAGAAGTTGACCAGTGTTAATATTGCTGCCTCCATTTTCCCCTCCTTGGAGAAGTTGGAATGTTTTGATCATGACCTGAGAGAAAGTTCTAACAGTACCTATGCAAAATTGCACATCTGGTTTTCATATTTCAAAATCACTCTTCTGGATGGACTCCTCTTTCATCTGTAACAAAGTGTTAAACTTCTATAATTCATAAACATTTAAGTAAGAAATGGAATTCATTCAAAAGCAGTAGGTTGTCAAACCTCCTATGAGTTATTTGCAAATAGAAAGAGATGCTTTCAAAATATTTCTAAAATAATGATGTAAATCTGGGGTCTAAAGTTCAAAATGGTGGGCATGATACATTCAATGATTTATATAACAAATCATGCTTCTTTCTGAAGACACGAATCAAAATTAAGAGGTGAAGCTTTATTTATTTGTGATATGATCTTATTCACTATACATTTGTACCTCATTAGGGATTAAAAGATAATCACACACAAAACAACACTAAAACTCAGAATAGTGAAATGATCCTTCTTTCAACCACAAAAGGGTCCTAAGTGAATTAACATGCTCTGATCTGCATTACAACACTTCCATAATCATATCATTTTTTTCTCAGGAGGTGAATTTAACTTGGAAATCTCAAACCTTCCTCATACTCTCTATTTAACTTTGAATACCTTTTAAAATCCTGCTTCCTTACTGTGCAGTAGGAATAAGCACATGGCCTAACTTACACATGCACACTTACTTGTAAATACGTTATAATTTTAATGTGTTATTCTTCTAGAAAATATGTTCTAGAGCATGGTGTATGGTAAATGTGATCATGTGTGTGAAGACTGGCAACTACAATGTCTTCAGTGTCAGGTTCATAAATTGAAGTGACTAAAGGCTTAGGAGAGAAATGTTAAGGAATAATAGTGACTTCAAAAAAATGAAAGTTACTGTTATGACATAGAAACAAATTCAAATAAAATATTGTACAATGGGGATGTTACAATAAAGTTAGTGACCTAATGACAGGCCATAAAATGAAAAATTTCAATACTGTGTCTCTATTGTTTGGCTATTTGATGACAGCAATAAGGGTAAGAATGAGTTTTAAGAACAACAGACTCTTACACAAGCTAAAATATGGATTTCAAGGAAGAAATTTTTAACAACAGTGGCTTACATGGAATTTAGGAACAGCAATCACATGCTTGGTTAAGGGCAGACTGAGAAACACTGACCATCACACAATATTACAGTGACTCTGAATGGGGAAGAAGGTAAATTGGGAGGAGAAGCTTCAAGAATTCTTTTATCTCACTGAGGACTGAAGGCCTGCTTGTTGGCAACCACTTTGATCAAACCAAGATGAGCTGTTATCCCATCCTAATAATAATGTGATGTTAACATTTCTAAGTTTTTTTTAGCATTTTATTGTATTTTATGTATTTACTATCTTAATTAATTCTCACAATAATACCTCAAAGTAGGTCTCATTGCTTTCTTGATCCTATAGGTAGAAATATGATATTCAGGTGAGATGGTTCAGAACCAGTATCACTCAGGTGGAAACGGTAAGTGTGATATGTGTCTCTCCCAGGGACCTGAGCTCTGTGCCTGCTACTTTTGAGGATATGCCTTTGCCCAGAAATGCACCTGCAAGATAAGCCTGCTCCCACTACCACAGTTATCCAACTGCATCTACTATGCAAAGAGATGTGCTACAGTGGTTTAGAAGGGAAACTTCTCTTCAAGCTAATCAATAGTTAATGCTTAAAACCACACCATCCATGTCAACATTTGCAGACTTGATGCTGAGAGCTCCAGGCAATTTTACCATTCAACCCAGACCTTGTTAATTCATTGAGGACACTATTGTCATTGAAAAAAGGGGTCATTTCAACTATTCTGAATTTTTGTTTTATTTGTTTTGTTTTACCTCCAATGAGAGGAGAATGGAATTATCATCTAATCAACCATTGTCTTATTCACTGTGAAATCTCAAATGCTGAGTTTGAACCAAAGGAGATAATGAGTCATTTTAAGCTCAGTTAAACATAGTTTTATTTAAATTCACTTCAGAACTTTGGATTTAGATTTATTATTACATTTATTATACATTGAAGGTTTGCTGAGATCATCAATTAATATTTTTGCAAATAGGAATAACTTAACTTCTTCTGCTGTATAATTTATATGAATGTGACAACCAACCAAACTCATAGTATTTTGAAGAGAAGAATGTTGAACACACACCTCAAATGTCTACAGCAGTTCTTGCAGGTGAGCAACATGGAAGTCTTAGCTTTTACTGAGCTCAAGAGAAGTTGATTCATAAATAGATACATCCAGGCAAGTCATATTTATCATTTTGAGTTGTTTGTGACTTAACAAATGTTTAAGATTTTATCATTGTTCACATGATCCAATGAATTCCTGAGATTCATGTTATGCAGCACTATAATATAATTAATGCATTCAATTTTATTATGAAGTTCATAATTTTTCCAGACAATCTTGAAATACTAGTTGTTTCTACAGTACCAGAATACATCTTATGCTATAATTTCCAATTTTATTTCATTTCTTTTTCTTCTTCTTTTTTTTTTTCTAGTGGTTATAGGGCATGCAGTTACTCGGAGATAACTCTGATGGAGAACAGGACAGAAGTGACACACTTCATCCTGCTGGGACTAACCAATGACCCAGGTCTGCAGCTTCCCCTCTTTGTGACTTTCCTCTTTATCTACTCCATCACTCTGGCTGGGAACCTGGGGATGATCCTGTTGATTCTCTTGGACTCCCGTCTCCACACTCCCATGTACTTTTACCTCGGTAACTTATCTCTAGTGGATTGTTGTTACTCTTCAGCTGTCACTCCCACAGTCATGGCTGGGCTCCTTCTAGGAGACAAGGTCATCTCCTACAATGCATGTGCTACTCAGATGTTTCTCTTTGCAGTCTTTGCTACTGTGGAAAATTGTCTCTTGGCCTCAATGGCCTATGATCGCTATGCAGCCGTGTGTAAGCCCCTGCACTACACCACCACCATGACAAGTGTGTGTACTTGGCTGATTTCAGGCTCATATGTCATTGGTTTCCTAAATGCCTCCATCTACACTGGAGACACATTCAGTCTCACCTTCTGCAAGTCCAATGTGGTCCACCATTTTTTTTGTGACATTCCAGCAGTCATGGTTCTCTCTTGCTCTGATAGACACGTGAATGAGCTGCTTCTAGTGTACATTGTGAGTTTCAACATCATTTTTGCTCTTCTGGTAATCTGGATATCTTACACGCTCATTTTTATCAGCATCTTAAAGATGCACTCAGCTTCAGGGCATCGGAAGGCTATATCCACCTGTGCCTCCCACTTCACTGCAGTCTGTATTTTCTATGGGACTGTTATCTTCATGTATTTACAGCCCAGCTCCAGTCACTCCATGGACACTGATAAAATTGCATCTGTGTTCTACACTATGGTCATCCCCATGCTCAATCCTGTGGTCTACAGCCTGAGGAACAAGGAGGTCAAAAGTGCTTTCTTAAAGCTCAAAAATTCATTAAATTTTTGGAATCAAAATAAACTTTAGGATCTTGATTTTACCCTTGTGATATGCACTATTCCTGGATTCATCCCTATCAAATCTTCATGTACTGAGTTACACTGAGATTACACTAATGTTACACTCTTGTCGTGATACCCTTACTTCTGTAAACCTTTATTTACTGGGAAAAAGGAAATATTATACCCAGAAATAAATACCTGAGTGAGAATGACTAAATTATCTTGGGATCGTCTTGTCAAAACCCTCATTAAGTGTTTTTATGTATTCACTCATTTCACATGTAAACTTTGTACCACATGTTAACACACACATATGTAGAACAAGTGCAGAAAATAGCCCACAAACAGAAAAAATGGAGCAGGTGTCTTATGCTATCACTCACATAAGGGTGTGGTGAATTTGTCAGAATTAAATGTAATGTAACTGTGGTGGTTAATTTTATGTGTTGATTTGACTGGATTCCCAGACAGCTGGGAAAATACTTTTCCTTTTATGTTGGTGATTGTGTTTCTGATAGAGTCTAGTATTTAAAACAGTGGATGTAGGTAAAAAGATCTGTCCTCATTAATGTACATGTCTATCATCCAATCCAACGAGGGCTCACCCAAATAGAACAAATGAGTAGAGGAAGGGCAAATTCTCCACTCCTCTCTATTTCCCTCTCTCTCTTTTAACTGAGACATCCATCTTCTCTCGCTCTATGATCTGTCCTCTGATCTGTTCCTGAATCTTGGGCCTTAGGTCTTCCTTCAAGAGTAGCATCAGCTACTTTACCTTCTTTTTAGAGCTTTGAATAAACCACTTGCTTTCCTTTTTCTCCAGCTTAAATATAGCACATTAAGGAACTTTACAGCCTCTACAATTACAAAAGGCAATACCCATAATAAATTTCCTCTTATATGAAAATAATATATAAATAAAGGATATATATATAAATTTATTATATATATATATATATATATATATATATATATATATATATATATATCCTTTGATAAAACATTATATACTCAAGTTTAACAAACATAATATAATATATTGATTGGGTATTATAATACAAATTTTGGCTGATATTTTTCTAATTTTTCACTATCATTCTAATAGTTCTATTTTGAGAAGAAAAATATGCTATATAACTATATGCTATATATGCACTTTATTAGTGCAGTTTAACAAGAGATGCAAGAATGGTGGCATCTCATATGAATTCATATTTCTCTTTGACTAAGTCCTTCTCACAAGCAAGATAGCCATATTTTAATTTTCAAAAGGATAAAATAGACAATAAGAAAATTCCGGGGAAATGAAAGTATATTTAACATACTGATGTATTACTACAAACTTTCAGAGTATTTAAAAATTAAAGTTTGTAGTGGAACTGTATTACCTCAAACTTTCAGACTACTAAGTAAGCATTTTGCTTTTGGCAAATTCTTTGAGATTGTTAATGTTAAATCGGACCATTCATTTTTATTTCAGTTGAGTTGTGTTCTCTCTTATCACAACTCCAAGCATGCTCCTGCCTGAGGGCCTTTGAGAGCCGTGTTCCCTGAGGCAATGCCCTCACTCCATTCAGGTCTTTGCTTCAATGTCACCCTGTCATGGAGTCCTTCCCTGACCACCTGCATGAAATAGTCACTCTTCACTCACCACGTAAGACGATCCCTCCTCCTATGTCTTCATAGTTCTTATCAACCTTCTCCCAGTATACATTTGTTCAGCTATATCTTATTTATCTCCCCCAACTAGAATGTCAACTCTGAGAAGAGTGACTTTGTTATGCTCTCATGATCATCAGCACCTGCATAAATGTTTTACAGTCGATTCTAATAAATATTTATTAAATGAATAAATAAAATCATTGTGTTAATTGTACTGAGTTTAATATTTTGAAGCTTTGAGTCTTTTTTTAGGATATGAATCCTGCATAATGAAAACCTTCTAGATCAACATTCAGTGCATTTGAAGAGGCACAGCTAATTTTCTGTTTTGCTGGAACAATATTTTTCTGCATTGCCACTCAATCTCACACTCCTTATTTATAGGAAAAATGCCTCCCTTAAATCCCAACATCAAGTCAGTCATTCCAAACCTCTTATAATGTTTAGTAGGAAGTGTTGTCTCATTAAGAGACAAGCGATATATTATAGAAGTATTATCTTATAATCATAAAACACATGAAATATAAATTAGAGTATTCTTATCTGATTATGTTTGAACAATTACTATTCATATACAATTTATATGATAAATGGAAATGATCCTAAATTCTAAGTAGAATATAAACTTGATAATATTTGCCATTAGAAAAAAATAAAGTACATTCAACATTTTAATAGAAAACACAACCTTCTCATTTCAATCTTCAGGGAGCTACATAGTAAGCAAAACCTATACCTAGGAACACGTCTCCATGTGTGATTTGCAACTCCTATAAATTAGGAGGCCTCAGCATTGTTTCATTTGTAGTTTTGGATCAAATGTACAATAATGGTCTTTCTGTTCCTTGTGCAGCTGTGTAATATAAAACAAGTATTCACTTCTCTTCTATAGTCCTGGTTCTAGGGAAATCACTCCTAATTATCATTGTAAGGATTATTTAATTGTATAGTTTCAGAGGATTTATGGAAAATTATGAGAGACTGTGTAATGCTGCCATATGACACTGTGGCAGCACAATGATGGATCCCAAAGAGATCCAAGTCCCAATTCTGAAACTTTCAGTGTTCCTCTATGTGGCTCTGAAGGACTCTGTAGATGTGAGCAAGTTAAGGATTTGAAGAATAAGAGTTGAGGAAAACCTTTAGGGTAAAGGAGGAATCAGGAGGAGGGAGCATGGGAAGGAGTAGGAAGATACTGGAGAGGAGATTGGCCAAATTAAGTTTCCCTGTATGTACAAAGACACCGCTATGAAACTCACCATTCTGTATAATTAATGCACACCAATAAAAATAAATGTTTTAAAAAGAATATGACGTCATCCAGGATTATCTCTGTGAGTCCTAAAAATATAGAGAAAAAAAGGTAGGGGGGAATCCCACGAAAATAGAAGAGAGATCAGTGGAATGGAGGAAGGGGATTGAAGAGGAGGGAGAAGGGATGGGAAAAGAGAGCAATGGTGGAATGAAACTGACCAAACTACTGTGTGTGTGTGTGTGTGTGTGTGTGTGTATGAATGTATCACAGTGAGTTTCCTCTTTGTGTATATCTATAAAGCACTAATTTTAAAGAGCTATAAATACATAGAAGAAAGACCAGTAGAATGAGGAAAGGGAGCAAGTGAGGGAGGAGAAGAGGGAAAGAGGATGTACTGGGAATTGAAATGGTGCGAATTATGTTTCATGCTTGTATAATTATGTCAAAATGAACCCCAATGTTATGTGTAATTATAAGGCACTAATAAAAATGAAAAAATTTCTTGTATCCTTATGAAATACAGTTAGAAACATTTAACCATAGTCAAAACAAGATTCCACAAAGTCACCAGGGTGACAAACCGAAGCCAGGTGACCAGAGGGCATGAAATTCCACAACCCATGGAGGATGGTAGAGGCAAGAAACGCAGTGTCCCTGGAGCCCATGAAGGGACCATGGCTCTGAGAGACCATTGATTCTGCTCATGGAGATGATTTCACACTTGTGGTTTCCTTAACTGTGGAAGAAAAAATATGTGCTGTTGTAAACCTCCACATTTCAGTACTTTGTTAACAGCAGTCACTGGAATTAATACAAATCCTCACCAGGTGTTATCCATGTGATAAGTTTTATTACTATGGCACATTTGCTTGGGGGAATTCACCAGGAAAATCCTGGAATTTCATTTGTTGGGAAGTTATTTGTGATTGATTCACTCTCTACACTTGTAGATATATTCAGATTTCCTTTTTCTCTATAGTCGGTTTTAGTAGTGTGTATTCCAGGAATTTGAATTTTATCTGTTATCCAGTTTGTTGGTATGCAGCTATGTATAATATTTTGTTATATTATTTTTATAAGGGCAGACATGATATCCTTGCTTTCACTTATTAATTTAATAATTTGAGTTTTCTCTTTTTTCATAGTCAGTCTATAGAGTTTTATCATTTTGAATAATCTTTCCAAATAATCAATTTTTTGTTTGTTGATTTTTATTATTATTTTATTACATTCTGTTTTGTTTATTCTGCTCTAATCATAGTTCCTTCTTTGTGCTCCTTCAGATTCTGTTTTCACAGTTAATTCTTAAAGTTTCAAGTTGGCTTAAACACTTGAGATTATTTTTTATTTTTTGTCACTTAGAGTTATAAATTTCCTATGACCACTGTGTCTGCTTCCTATCACAAAACAGGATATGTTGTTCTTTCAAATTTGTTTTTCTATAACTATTTTTACATTTCTTTTGATGTATTTTTTACCGAATGATTATAGATGAGTTTGTTCTTCACTTTTATGTGAATATTTAATATTTTCCTTGTTACTTATTTCTAGTGCCATTGCATTGTGATTGGTGAAGCTGTTTTATCTGAGTTAAATCTTTAAAGCTTATTCAGACTGGGTTTTCAGCCTAATATAGGGTTTGTCAAATTGACTGATTCATAGGCAATTTGGAATTCCACTGCTCTTGGGAACAGTACTCTGTATATATCTGTTTGTATGGCTTAAATTGTGGGTTTGCTCACATCCTCTGCTTCCTATTGATTATCTCTAGCTATTGTATTCATTATTGAAATGGGGGTACCGAGGTCTTCAGCCCTCATTGCAGAACCATTTAGTTCTGTTGTCAACATTTGCTTTTATATTCTGGGCCTCTGGTGTGTGTGTGTGTGTGTGTGTGTGTGTGTATACACATTTTTATATATACACATTTATATATTATCTACACTCACTTTCCTAATTAATTGTCCCTGTTATCAATATACGATGTCTTATTTCACTCTTCTAAGAACAATTTTTGACTGCCAGTCTATTCTATTATTAGTATCATCATACTAAAAAGAAACCTGTTTTGGTTTCCATTAGTATGATATATATATATATATCATGAA